AATGGAGAGAAACATGCACATGGGATGTTTTGCATGGTTGGGTACTAAATGAAAACTGGATGCTTAAAACATTCAATAGCAGATACAGAGGCAGTTCGTTTTCAGTTCAGTGAGACTTTATTTTTTTGAATTTGAGCTGAATCTTGAAAGTTAATTCTGGTTTGAGAGTTGTGTGCTTATTTGTGCAGCCTCTGAGATGCTGTGTTGAAGTAGGAATGTCAAGAAGAATAATTTGTTTTTCAGATATGAATTGCTTGAGCAAATGGTGATGTTTGCATTCTAGCAATTATTGTGCCTGTAAAATATTTGGGAAAGCACAAATAAAGAGCCTTGTTTTGCAGACTATAGGATGGTATTCTAAAGAGTTCCCCAACATGCTTAAAAATTATTATTTGCTGTAAAATCTTGGAAGCTCTTTTAAAGACTCAGTATTTTCCTTTCTGTGTCTCTTCCAGGAACTTGGGATTTTTGCTAATGTATTTATGTGCATTTTTGCTGAGGTTTTACATCTTATTTTATTTTTGTGACAGCTATGTGAGGATCATGAAGTTCTCAGCTTTATTAAATACAAAGTGTTTGATCCAAAACGTAAGTCACGTTTGACCTATTTGAGGGGTTATCTGAAGTCCAGTTTTTATAAGAGCGTGCACTTGCCCAAAGACATCATTGATCTTTCTCCCCTCTTTTGCTTCTTATTTTGAAAGCCTCTGCCAAAACACTCTCTGGCCTGCTGGAATGGGAATGTAAGACAGATGCTGTGGAAGCTCTCACTGTACTTAATCACTACCAGATAAGAGTCCCAAGTAAGTTAGTTTTACTGATCTTACTGCTATCATTTTGTTTCTTGGTTTTTTTTTTTCATGTTGATATTGCCTTGGTTTAAAAAAAAAAGAAAAAAAAAGTTTCAGCAGCTTAGTCTGCATCTAAAAATTGCATTCTTTTCATTATAGGTATATATTCTGTATATGTATGAATATATATGCTCATTTATCTTCTGTTGTGTATATAATGATCTCCAGTTTAGGTTCCATTGCATTTTATTTAAATGGCACTCTTTCTTCCTAGCTTTGGAATCAACCTGTAGAGCTCAAAATATGCTCTGCAGCTCTGAAGTTATAGAAAGTTTAAAAAAACAAAACAAAAATCCACTAACAGCAAAAAAAACAACAAAAAAAGCCAACAAACAAAAGAACAACGGTCTAGGATGCAAAAAGGAAGGCAGGAAAGGTATTGCTTACAATCCACTATCATTAAAATCAAATCTAATGTACAGTGTCTTACTGAAGCTTTTGTCATGTTCCTCAGTAAATGCAGAGAAATGCGCAGTGCCCTTGGATAGAAGATTCTTTAGGTTGCACAGCTTACTGCTCTGAATTAACTGCTCTTGTAGTAAGTTCTTTTTCAAACCAGAAATTTTGGTGTCAAGGTGATTTTAACACCAAACTAGTAAGGACAGAGATGAAATTCACCTGTTAAACTGTTGCACAGTGGACCAGATCTGTGTTGGACAATTCAGACAGTTTACTGGAGTAAATGGAATTATTCCAAGTATTGACAGACATCTTTGAATCTAGCTCAGTGCCTAACATTATTTTAAGCTACCTTCTTCAATCTATTAAGAATTTGTCTCTGCCTGACAATCTTTCCTATCCACTCCACTCTTCACCCACCATCTCAAACAAGAACTTTTGGTTAAGACTTAATGAATTAAGGTTGTCTGAGGTTGGCTGAACCAGGAGGATGCGTCTTCCATCGCCTGAGAATACCCAATTATGTGCTGCTGCCATGAGCAGCCTTTCCATGTAAAGGGGCATTGTTTTTTGCTTGGCTTTCTGGAGAGTCCTGAAGGGGGAGCTGGGCTTCGTGCTTTTCCTTATTCATCGTACACGCACAAACAGTCTCTAGTGTCACACTGCCTCTGATGGAAATACTACATTCTGTATCTCCTTATCCTTATCCTGTATATCCTTAAATATCTATGCATTTTGCTTTGGAAGTTCTGTTGGATACTACTCTTGTAAATAGTTCAGGTGGGAAACAGACAGCAATAACAGTAAAGTCTTCGTTGTGTTCAGAATGCTTTAGAATGCTGTCTGCATTCCTTTGTGATCAGATCCATCGCATTGCTTTTCCATCTTTTGCATCTGAAAAATGCTGATAGACTGTAAAGACACTTCATTACTGGTCATCTGGTATCTGTGGGCCATCAGGGGCATGGGGGGAGCATTTCACCTTCTGAAGTGGTAAACATGTCACATCAAGCAAGATGATTTTCTCGATCAGCAGGAGAGCCATACACATGGCGCATTACTGAGCTTGTTCTGTGTTGTCTCCCGACAGATGGCTCTAACCCTTATACCTTGAAGCTTTGCTTCTCTACTTCATCACATTTATAGAGAAGAGGACTGCATGTTAAGAGCTACATTCACCTTGATTTGCAAGTTTGAAACTACACTTCGTTCACAAAGCTCTAAAGTGGTTGCTCTAACGTTGCCTTGTTTCAACTTAATTCTAATATCTTTTATCTTGTTTTATAATAAATGGATGTTCATTCTTAAATACAAAACAGATTTTTCTTTTTGCCTCTCTGAAGTACATGTTGTAAGCTTACTACGAAGTTTGTATTTTGTTGGTGTAGTATCTGCAGATGTCTAAAGAAAATCCAGTAGCGTAAACAAGGCAGTGTACCATTCAGACTTCAAAATGTCAGTTGTTTTCTTCCAAAATGGAAATATATTTGCATTTTCAATAATGTTAAAGCTTAGCAAGTATTTTTCAGTTGTAGTGGGCAGATAGAACTGTTACATCAGAATTTTAAATGTAGAATCTGTTTTTCAGTATGTTAAGTAGTGAAGTATGTTGCAATTCTAAAAATCTTGTATTTATAAAATGCTTTCATCAGGTTAATGTTGCACATACAGAACTTTTAATAGTATGGACTTACTTGATTTATAGTTTTAAAAAAAAAAGCTAACAGAAAATTATTACATATACATATGTATGGTGTGAATTCATGCTTATTTAAAGTGTTGTTTTTAAAAAACAAACAAACCTATTTTCCGTCTGCATTAGCATGATGACATCTAGAACCAGTCCCACCATAGGGGCCTTTTAAAATTAAAATTGCAAGCCTGTATCAGTGTGTTCATCCTCATTTTCCATAACTTCAAATCTTTGGTGTTAACATATCTTCTTGATATCTTTTTCAATAGTTATTATGACTTATTAAACTTAGAAAAGTTGGCTAGTTGAGAACAGAAGATTGATCACAATAGAAACCAAGGTGGTGGAAAAAAGTTAAAACAAAAAGCAAGCCCACGGTACTCTTATACCTGGATTGTTAATTTTATGTACAATGGATGCTTATATCAATGTTTTCTTTTGTCTGATATCTCTTATTTCTATTATGATGATGAAAGGATACATGGGGTGAATAGAATGGCTAGCTTCTCACTTGAACTGTGGTGATGTAGGTAGGGTTCAGGTAATACAACTCTATAATGCGATGTGAAACTAAGGAGATGAGAGATCTTTCACTTTGAGGAAGATTTGTGTTGCACCAGCGCTTTGGAGCCTCTGTTCTCTCTTCTAGAACTGGTGCTTCATTGTATTTGGGCTCAACCCTCAGGGATGGGAATCCAGGGAGGGAGTCTGGGATCTGTTGTTGCAGGCCTCATGTTTGTTCCCCTCTCTGAATTTGCAGCAGTTAGTGCTCTTTTAGTTTTGCTCTTAGTGATCAAAGAGAAATTGTTTCATCACGTTTTCTTTTATCACGCAAGTTCTTCATTCCATCTTTATTGGTTTTATCTGTATCCATACAAGACCTATTAATGCGGTGTGCTTGCCCTTGAGAGCACGTTGTGTTATGTTTACAGACTGTGGGCACTGCACGTGCTTTTAAAGACCAACTATAATTTCCTCATTCTTAATTTGAAGACAAATACACATAATTATACGAGGGAAAATGTGTCAACTGTCCTTTGGCTTTTCTCATCAACTATAATTGATTTTCCTCCTGCCTACCTCCGTTTTATTCATCTTTCAGATAACAAATATTTCATGAGTTCAAAGCAGGCTTTTAACACGTTTGAACTGGGAGATGGAGGCTGCTTAGTGCCTCTTTCTGTCTAGAGTATGGAATAATACTGCCTTCCTGTATGGAAGATGGCAAACTGGCTTGCATTTTAGGGGCACTGCTAGCATTCTTTCTGCCTTAGTGTTTCCCCCTCAAAAACAGCGTTTAGTGAGCTCTAGCCTGGAAGGCTGAGTGCCAAGTCCAGCTACTTGCCAACACAACTGCTGGGTACTAGTGAAATGTTCTGTGCTGCATTGTTTTTTAACTGTAAAAGGTCTCGCTGTCATTAATTTATCTTCCATCAGAATGTTCTGCAAATACCAGTTTTTTTTGTCGTAAGTTGCATTGCTTTGTTTCAGAATCAAATTGTTTATGTTTGAGCATTGAAAATGGCATGTTATCTGTTGGTCCACTTTGGGATGTAGGAAGTGACCCTAAAAGCATTCAGGTTTCTTTAAAAAAAAGAAAAAAGAAAAAAAAAAGAAAAAGAAAAAAAAGCACTTTAATGTTTCCATGTCCTTCATGGATCCCAGCATTCAGTGCCTAAGATGCTCAGGGGAATGGTATTTTTCTTGTAGCTGCTCAGATCAGTCAGCAGACATACCAGTTCTGGGTGATATCAGCTGGAAGTCCCTATTTTGCAAAATGAGTAGCCTGTCATATGGGGAAGAAAAGACAAGAGTCTAAGGAACTGCTCAGCATTCTTTCTACGTCAAATAATAATCTTCATGTAAAAGTTGAGAACGTGAAAAATTCCTTGTTGGTATTTGTTTAAAAAAAAGTCATTTCCAGGCCCTCCAGGGCTGGCTAGTTGTTCTCAGGGAGGAATGAGGGTGGTCTCCTCCTTCCAGAAATAAGGTCTGTATTCACCTATAATTTAGGATAGAGACAAAGCAGTGAGGCAAGTAAAGAGTTTCTCCAACAGGAATGAAGTTTGTAATTCGTCAGCCACCCACTTACCGTATTTGTTAGATCAAAACTAAAGTATTAAGGTCTCTCAATGCAATTTTTCTGTCCCTTTTGCATAAGCCATATATGCAAAATAGTGAACAATGCTATGCATGTTTCCTGCTTGCAAGCAGCTTGCATTCACACTGTAATATATTCACGTCTGTTCCAATGTTTAAAAAAAAAAAAGTTGTATTTTCTAATCAATAACCTTTCATTGGAAGTAAATGATATACTGGGAGATTTGTTCATCTTCTCTCACCATACTCATATTTTTGTTTTAACTTATTTCCCCTTGTAAGGAGGAATTGAAATGAGTTGCTTTTTGATTTTTCTATACCACCACAGCAAGATGGAGTGCTAAGGTGATATAAGAAAAGATTTAAAAGAAAATGTTCAGGAAATGTTTGAGTGTTTTACTTTATGAAAGGAATTATAAAACTTAATATGTTGTCACTAAGTCTGTCTTTGAGTAAGGGATAGTATGGGGTAAGCTGGCTTGTAACTGGCTGAAACCCTCTGTTGTAATTAAATTTAACTTGCTCCTTTTCCTATTGTGTGTTTTCTTGTAAACAGAGCTTGAACGTGTTTAAATGTTTTGATGACTTAGCAGGAGATGTTCAGTCTCTTCTTTTAAGTAGTTCATTGAAGTCTGAGAGTATGAATGCACTTTCTCAATTTATTTTTCTCCTCCTGGAATTTGTTTAAGTATCTTCTGGGTTTTCTTATCTTCTTTTGAAAATACGTTATGTTCTTACATGTAGAAACTTCAGTATTTTTGGACAATCCAGCTTTGTATGTCTACCCAATCTCTTGGTTTATTCTCTTTTGGCAATTACAGAGGTGAAATTACAAATAATCTTGTTTGCATTGGTATGGCTTTGGCCAGAAATAGCATGCAAGAAGGCATACAGAAATAAAATCTGATATGGGCTCCACTTTATGTGAAGAATTCTTAAAGCAGGGAATATCATTCTGATTTTTAACTTTAACCTAGATGCAGCTGTGCTGAAGTTCAGAGCCTTCCCCTCCACGGATCTGGAATTTCAAAGGTAACTTAGTCCTGCTTTAAAATTTGGCTTGCAGTAATTTCATTTAGCAGTTTGCATATTTCATGCTATGAACAAGCCCTGGCGTACTGTCATAGAAGAGCTGATACTGCCCTCTGAATGTGTGGCTTAATACAAAAATCTGTCAGCCTTGAAAAAACAAATCTTCTTGATTTGGGTCCCCTGGTGGCAGTGGTCTCAAAGGAAGAAAAATATTTTCACTGGTGCTCCACAGAGTGCTTCAGGTGTGTTGGTTCACTGCCAGTACTTCTGTAGGTTGTGTTTTTCCATGACTCGTAAGTAAGGCCTCACTAAGTGAGAAATATATGTTTTGTGACCTGGTTTGTTATGAAATTCAGGAGTGAGCAACAGACCTACCTAAGCAAGGGAGAATCACTGCTGTGAGACCTCTGGAAGGGAGGCTCAAGCAGATGAGGGGTGAGCTCAGTTCACTAGACCTCCATTTCTCTGTCTGGTTGAGTGCTCTCAGGAATGAGAGGTGGGTGTTAAACTGCTGCCAGATGAAGTGGTCTGATGTGCAGGCTCTCACCTAAAGGCCATCCTGTGTTAGAAGGGAGGTGATTGCCACTTTCTCTGCTTATTATAGCCCGTGCTGTTTTTGCTTCAAGTTGTTAAGAGTACATATTTAAAATCAATCTGGCTTCTTCCCAGCCCACCTCTGCTTCTGTAAGGAATTACCTGGGAATGGACTGGAATGTGAAAAATGTTAATATATACTCACAAAGCAAGTCTAAACTGAGAAATACTTATCATTATTCTTCATTTATAAAACAAAGGATTTGCTGTTTCTTTACTCATTTCACTCTGTGTATGAAGTCCATATAAAACAGGGTCTTGTTCTCAGCTGCGCCATTAAAACGAACTTCTGGAGAAGGGTGATGGGTTGTGTTCACATGGCAAGGTGCTGTTTCTGGTGTGCTGTCCAGGTACTTTGCTAAAGCCGGTGCAGGGCAAAGTCTGAGTTGAAACAAAAAGCTGTTCAGGGCTAGGGACGAAGGCCCAAACTTCTTCAGCTAAAGCATCTAATTTGTAAAGAGCTTCCATTTCTAGGCAGTTGTGTAATTGAGTTAAAAGCATGCGATATTTGTGTTCCATTAAGTCTCTTAATGCATAATGTGCTTTCCCTGTTAAAAATAAAAAGGTTTCTTTCTCCATGGACTGATTCCCACAGGATGTGGAGGAACTTAGCATAGCCAGATTACTTGTGCTTTGGCTCCTTTCCTCTAAAGGAAATAACTTCAGTCCCTTTTCTTGTGTTCAGAATGCCTTGGTATCTGTCCTGTGCCAAGCCTTCCTGTGCTGTTCTTTCACAGCCAGCTCTCTGGGCTAGAGCCATGCATTAATTCAGATAGGTTCGCTTCTCTTCCTTTTTTGACTGTTGCAGCTGCTGATGTGAGATCTTAATTTATTTTTCCTTCTCTGGTATTTGTAGAGCAGCTGCAACTTCAGTGGACCTTCATGCAAGGGAATGAGTGCTGTAGGAATGCAACAAGGAGCCAGCAGATAAGTGGTACATTAAAAAGCAAGACAATTAACCCTCTTTTCCAAGCGTTCTGGAATATAGATTGGTTTTGGCAGGGGCCATATAGCAGTATTCAGAATATAACATAGGTTGTATTCTGGGGTATGGTTGAGGATAGCAGTTGCTGCAGAATAATTACAGGATGTAATTATTCAATTACATGTAAGCCATTACCTGTTTGTTTTCTCTTGCCACCATTTCCTCTCTCCATTAGAAGAATCATCCTTCTTTAACCTAGTAAGAAAATTAAATTGCAAATATTTGTGTTCCACTCAAATTGGGTAGTAGTCAAGCCCCTAGAAATTGGAGCGCTTGCTTGATAAAACTCTTCTCTCTTTGAGACTAATTTTCTTTCACTTAGGCTCTTAATGCAGCAGGCTTTGGATATTTCAGGAAGCACATTTGTGTTAGTTGATTATTTCCCTCTGCATGGGAACTTCTGGCCTTCTAAAATTTAAGACACCGATGTTGGGATTTGCATGTAATATAGATTATGCTTATATCTTTTCTTCTGTTAACCACAGCAACGAAACTGCTAATTCCAGATTAAATCACTGAGCTCTAGATAAGTATCCTATCTGAAGGATTCAGGAAAGTGTCTGAGAAACCAACCTGAGTGATCTTTTCTTGAAGGTACTGGGTAGATTATGTTGCCAGGTTTCAGACAGAAAACCCTAGTTTGAAGTGGGAATCATATTCACTTCGCTTACCTGTTTTGTTAGAGAGGGAAGGAAATGATGGTGTTAATTTAAAAACAAATTCTTAAGTTCTTAAACCAGAATATTTTATGAGGGCTGCTCTGAAAGGAATGCCTCCTATTTTATGCAGTTGGCCCGTATTCAGAGGTGGATTGGTGGTATGGCATTTGAGAATGGAACCTTCCCAACAATATCCTGTGGCATTTTCTTGATATGCAACAAGTGGCAGCAAAAGGACAGTCTGACAGAATGTGTGTATGTGTGTGTGTGTGTGTGTGTGTGTGTGTGTGTGTGAAACAAAATCATGGAACTGAATTTCTTCATACAAAAAAAATAAAGAAAGAAATAAAATTGTGCCGACGTTCATCAATGCTTGCCGAACATTTATGGAGATTGGATAATGGATGTGAGCACAGGGAGGCGGTGGGTGGTGATTTCAGCAGTGGTGACAGTGACGTGAAGGACAAGTCACGCTTCAGATGGCCATGCAGATTTTAACAAGTGCAGCATGCAGGATCTTATTGATCACTGGTGAAAATGCGCAGCTAATGGTGGTGACTGTGTTGGAGAATAGTTTTTGTAGCAGAGAATTTGCCCTATAAAATCGTGTTGTTACTGCACTCTATCTGATGTATTTTCCAAGGAAATAAATAGGAGGCATAACTTTTGGAGCAACCTGTGTAAGTTATACTTATTTTCATTTTTTCTGATAGCTCTGTAGAGGTTTATAATCTGTTTTTGAAGAAAGAGATCCTTGTGCCTTTAACTCTTGCTTTTTGTGTATTCCTAACATGAAGCAAGCTCACATAGAGCTCACAATGGAATTTCAGGTTAGGACCTTACTGTTGATACTATTTCAATGTATTTCACAATAATACACTCTCTAGTCTTGCTTTTATCAGCTATAGCTTTTATCTGATAATAATGAAAACGTACCCTAACACCTACAGGACAAGTTTCTTTCCATGAAGACAGACAAGGTGATAGTACATCCACATGTCTTTTGTGATATGGACACCCAGTTAAGTGTGACTCCATGGCTTTTCTAGCATAGGCTATAATATATCATTTCTTTTCCATCTGTCTGTGTCATTACCTCTCACATCTGTATCCCTGCTGACAATGTCATTGCAAAAACAACAACAAGAAACAAACAGTTCTCCCTTTTTATCTCTTGAAGCTTTGTAGCAAAGATCATTCATCTGCCTTTGTTTTCTACGCTTTCTGAAACTTCTTAGGAAACTGAGCAAGGATATTCAGAGATGTAGGGTCAGCAAAAAACTAATCTTATCCTTTTAAGCTGGCAGAGAATGAGCAGTAGCACTGGTCCCACGTCTGCCAGCACAACCTCCATTTCTTACTGCTGAAAACAGACTCTGCTTTTCAGGAACTGTCCCATGTGGACCTTTCCAGTGAGGACCCTGCTAAGAGTAAGCCTCTTTTAACACTGAGCAGAGTGGAGTTCAGGAACCCTGATAGCATCTGTTCATTTCTGGTATGTGTATGGGTCTGGCTTTATATTCTAAGCAGACAGTTGCTTCTTGCTTGTAGCATGCAGCCATTGCAGCAGCTTTGGCCTGAGACTTACCACCCGTAAGCTACTCACAGCTAACCGGTATTTGAGAGGGGCTAGTCTTTAAACTGCTTTAGAAGCATTTGCTTCTCAAGCAGAGCTGCTCTTAAGCCATTTTGCAAGCACTTGGGCTACTTCTTTCACTGTCCTCTTCAGGAGCTGTTGTTTCCCATCTCCCCAGTGACTGCCTGTACCCCCTGGCTCCTATTAAAGACCATGAAAATCAGTGTTTCCAGCAGTGTCAACCTCTTCCATTTAAGTTGTGTGTAAGATTTGTGCTGAGGATTTGTGCTGGAAAGCTTGCTTCTGAGTCAAGGCAAGTGCAGTAAAACCCTGACAACAATTTCCCAGAGCTCCTTGTGTCACCAGCAGCTCAGAAACTTGTCCACAGCTGTCTTTGCAGCACTGTGAGGAGTCTGTTTAGCCACTTGCAAAACATGCTGCCAATAACCCTGAGCCAGATTTGGGGCTGGGGCTATGCAACACCAAGACGAAGCTGATAAGCAGCATGTTTGCTTTGTGTCTTTTCCAAGTACAAGCAAGTTTCACTGCTGAGGTCTAAAGAAAGGGCAAGTGGGGAGGCTGATACTGCACTCACCTAGGAGATACTGCTCTTATCTGCCCTATTAGCAGGGAGTTGGCTAAGAGAAACACCAAACACACCTCTGGCTCTGGTTATGCCAGTAATCTGAGTGCACAATGCCCACAAATGTCAGTGCTGTTAGACTGGAAAGCAAGAGAGCTTTCAAAGCAATGCCAAGTTGGGTTTTGATCAGACAGGTGGCTGGAGCGTTGACTGCTATAAAGTTTAAGTTTTTCATTGTGTTGATTAGGTAGCCTAGGCTCTATAAGGTAGCTCTGTGCACCTGTCTCGAACATAGGAGGCCCGAGGTCTTTGGAACAGGATGTTCATGTTATTCCCCTGCCAGTTTTCTATGGCTCCCTAGTGAGGGTGAAGTGGAGCTGCTCGCCCCTTCAGTGTACTCACGTGGCTCACTGTGGCACGGCCAGGGTGCCTTCCCTTCTGCCAGCACTCTTCTTGGGTCAGTGAGGCCCAGGGCACTGTGGGGAATGCTGCTGGACTAGTTGCTCTGGTGTGTGCAGCAGGTGCAGCGGGAACCTCTTCCTGGCATGGGCTTAGAGGGGTGAGGACCTGCTGATTTCTGCTGGCAATCTGGTGAAAGTGGGTAGGTGAGGGCAGGGAGGGACAGAGAGCTGTTATCACAACTGCATTTTGCCTTCTCTGCAGACCTCCCATTACAGGGTTAAACCTTTCATCCCTCTCCTGGCTGCTTTCAGGGCCTTTAGTTCTGCCTGTAAATAAATGATACAGTACTTAATAAAGAACATGCAAAAACTGCATTCAATATTTTCACATTCCCTTTGTGCCAGGTACAGCCCAGCTGATGTAGTCTATCTGGCTGCAGTGTCCAGAAAGGCTGTCTCTGAATTACATTGCTCATGTTGCTTTTTTCTCAGTCTCTTTTGCACAAGGATTGCAAGTAAAACAGCTCTTTCAAGTCTGGATACCGTTGCTCCAATTTTGGCATGAGCTTCAAGCTCAGCAATTCTAGCAAACATGCTTTTGGAGCATGTGACCAGGAGGATTAGGAAAGAAAGCCATGGGCTTTATTTCTCTGGTACCATGTCTCGGGGTCTGCAGGGCAGACTTTGAGGTCTCAAATACTCCACAGGAGATGGTGGGGCAAGGCCTGCCTTGCTGGTGGAGAACAGCAGGTGGCAGCAAGGAATTTGGTCCCTTTGTTCCAAGTTCAGTTCAAGGGATGTGCACCCACTTCTCCCCAGCGCTTCACCTGCAGGCAGGGGTCTGCAGCCAGAGGGTCATTTCTAGACTGGGACAGTGACATTTGAAGTTATGTAGCCTTTATGCTGCTTTTGCTTTGTGCTCGTAGGCTGTTTGAGGTTATGGGATACTCTTCTGCAGCATCTGTTCTGTATCAGTGTATGAAGCTAGATGTGCACAAAGACTCCAGCTGCTTGAGTTTGGACTCTGTTATTAGGCAGGAGAGCCATTCTGGCTCGTGCAGGGCTGTTTGCTGAAACATCTGTAAAAGAAGGGAGAAACTGCAGCAAGAAGCATGCCAAGGGCAGCAAGCTCATATGTTGCTGTGCTATTCTTGGGAGTGGGCAGCGCAAACAACTTTAGCTGCAGAAACCAATCGTTGGCCTGAGAATCCTCTCTGGCTTATTCAGAAACTTCCAAGTTGGAAAACAAAATGTTTGAATCTCTCTTGCAGGCTTGTCAGCTCTGGGGTGTGAGCTAAGATGTCTCTGCAACCCCTCTCCTACAGAGCAGCGTTGCAAAAGAGCTCCACCAGATAACTCAGAAATTTGGATTTGATTCCACTTGTGTAAGCAGTTAAACTACGGGATGAGAAAGGATATTTCATCCCTTTTTCTGGAGGGTGCTGGTATGCTGCCAGTTGTGTGCAAATGCTCTTGATATTTCAGTGAAAATGGAAAAATGGCAGCTAGATTAGGAAGAACAAATGCAAGACAAACAGGTATTTTTCCACAGGGGGACAGAACGCAAATGAATCTAATAACCAGATGTGTAAGCACTGCCTGCAATGGTCTGGGACCTCAGAGGATTATTTGTTAAATGCATGGACTTCTGGTGAAGAGGTGTGGGGCTGTATTGTCGTAATGGACTGCAGAAGGAAGATGCTTTTGGGAGAGGAACATGAATGCTGCCTTGGAGGCTGCCTTGGGCCAGAGCAGGAGCCTAGCCAAGGCTGGTCTCAGCAGCTGTCTGCTGTCAAATTGTCTTGTTCCCTGGCTTCCTTCATGCTGCCTTTTTCTCCTGGCAAAAACCAGGACCAGCTGCAACATTGGAGCTAGGTAGTCTGTTTCCAAAAGGCAGATTTTTTGATATGACATAACACATGTTGGTTATTTTGAGAAGGTTTCTTCCTTTTTATTTTCTGACCTCATTAAAGGTAATACAGACTGGCTTCAGACAGAAATTCAGAATGGTGTTAGTCATGCAGCTGCTATGCAGTATGGTAAATAACTGAGCACCTTGACTGAGTTGTGCCATTGTACTTCCTGGATTCAGCCTGAGCTCTGCTCTGCTCTCCTTCTGGATTTGTGCTTGTTATTTTCCTTTTGTACAGAGCACGTGTTCCCTAAGGGGCAGCTTGAGTCCAGAGGTCTTGTCCAAGTGTTTAACCTTGGCCATGGATATTGTGTAATTCTTGTGAAAGCTTAGTTTGGCATTTCTAGCAGCTCTATACCTCTAGGTTCTGTGTTGCTTCTTGCACAAGCTGCCCTGGGGCTGCCTTGCTGGGGACAGAAGTGAACAGACAGAGCCAGGCAGCTGCCAGCATCTCCTTCCCCAGGAGCTTGTGGCAGGTACTGAACACGACATTTGTCAGAGAATGTTTGCATTTTGTGTTGAGGGATGTGGTACAGTGAGTACCATTGGTGATAGGTGGATGGTTGCACTGGATAATCTATAAGGTCTTTTCCAACCTTGGTGATTGTGTGGTTGTCCTGCGGGCAGGAATGGCCATGGGTCCCTCTCCATGCCAGGATGCCTCCAATAGCTGTGACATGATGAATCTCTTTGCCATGCAATGTTGGATTAAATCCTTAAGGTGTAAAATGCTGCTGGATCATTGTGATCATAAGGCAAAAGCAATGGTGGTCTCCTGCCCTTTGTGCAGTGTAGAAACTCCTGCTCATGGAGCAGCTTGCATATGTGCTACAAGGGAGTGACACACCTGGATATGCTCCTTGGGCAAAGCCTCCAGGTAAAGAGCTGATAGATAGTGAGCCACGTGGCAAGTGCTCTGTGCCCTCAGCCTCCTGTGCCCAGCATCGCTTGCAGTATTGCAGCTTGCTCTTGCTTTGAGGGGCAAATTGCAAAGCGTGGGACTTTAACCACATCAGTGGGCGTGCAGATCAGGCAGGGGCTGTGCCAGCCAGCAGGAGCACTGGAGGTCTGCAGAGCTCACCTGCAGCACACTCGGGATCCAAAGCTTTGTGGTGTGCATACAAACCCTTTAAAATCCAAGGACCAGCTCAAAGCTGATTTCTGTGGCCTGTAAATGAAGCGGAACAACTTTGCAAAACCAAAATACTCCTAGCAAGATACAGCTGCTTCCTCTAGCTGAGATTTGAATTGCCCAAGGGGAGGTCAGTTTGGCTTTGAAACTTCTTCAAAGTTTTCTGGCTTAAAGAATCATCATGTTTCTTTGAAAGCGCTGACACCTACCACCTACCTGTAAGGCATCTCCAAGTGCTGACACGCGCAGACCTCAGGCTTAGTAATGAGCATCGTGCCTTTCCATCGTGCCTTTCCACCATTAAACCTTGTTTAATGGTTAGACTTAATTGCATTGCGGCAGCTGCCTCCTTTGACCAACTGTGGAAAGAGTAATGGATTTTTCATATCAGATTTTGTCCTTTGAATTGTTTGTTTATTGTGACTGTTTTGCTGTAAACTGTAAGCTCCTGAAGTCAGCCCGCTGCTGCAAAATGCTCTGTGTGC